CCTGGCTGGACCGGTCGGGCGGGCGCCTCGGGGCTTGGCTTCGCTTCTCCGACGCCGGCCCGGGGGGGCCCCCCACCCGCTCGGCTTGGGGGCGCGGAGCCGGCGCCCAGGTCACCGCGAGAAGAAGCTGATGACTTTTGCCAAAGGCGGCACCGACGGTCGGCCACGGCCGCGGCCGCCAGGCCAGGGTAAAGCTGAAGGGACAAGACCATAAACCGTGAAGCCGGAAAACAACGGGATGCAGACATGCGGACTGGCAGAGCCTGGGCGCCACGGGTCATGACACGGCCTGCCTAGCGCCGCCGGGAAACCGAGGCCTCGCCGGGAGACCTGGGGCCGGAACCCGACACTCTTGACTTCTAGAGGGCTGGATCACGGCTTTTGGAGCCACCAGGGAGCTGGGCCAGGGGGTCCCTAGTAACCTCTTCTGGGCCGGGGACCCAGGCTGCTGCCCCAGTGACTGCAGGTTTCCTGAGCACTGAACTGCAAGCGTTCAGACCCCACAACCCAGCTGGCCTGACTAACGCCTCTGGCTCTAATTAGCCGGCTTTGAAGATGAAACAGACCTGAGCCCCCATGCTAGCAGCTGCCAACTAGCTTCTCTCTTTTCTCCAGGCTTTACTGGTCCCTCCCTCCCTACCCCATCCTGCTGCCCTCCAGATGGGAGGAGGTAGGTGGTGGGGTAGCTGGCAAAGAGGCTCTCTGGATGCCAGGGGGATGGAGACAAGGATCCAACCCCAGGGACAGGTCCAGCTGGAAAGCCCGGTCCCAGCTCCTCTGGGCCCTGGCTCCACAGTTGACTCACAGGCGGCAGCCCTGAACCACTTCCCTCTAGGTGCCTCAGTTTCTCCATCTATAAAATGGGAGAGATGAGTCCCACCCAAGAGGCTGTGGGGTGGGGCAGCCTGGCCAATTAAGCCTAAGATGAAAGAGGCCAGGATGAGAGCAGCCTTGGGAGGGAGCCTGTCTGGTTTCCCTGTCTGAGGCCCAGAGGGTGCTGATAACTGCACATCCCCAGCCCTCACCACGCACAGGGAGGGAGGAATGATTATTAAACAGTTGAGGAGACAGGCTTCAAAGGGTCAGGAAATCCGACACTGGCTCTGGCCCCCACTCAGCCTCTGACAGCCTTTCTGAGCCTTGGCTCCTTGGATGCTGTGGTGGGCTGTGGTGGGCTGATCCACATGGACTCACTGGCTCACAGCAACCCTGAGGTACCCAAGCATGGGTCCCACTGAGATGGGGAAAGGAAGGCCCAGAGAGGTACAGTCACTTGCCCAAAGTCACAGAGCTCCTAAGAGGTAGAGCCCGGACTTAAGCAAACAGCCCCTCGCGGCCCCTGACTTGGCCCTCTTCCCACACCAGCTGCCCTCAACCCTCTTGAGTGTCCAGATCCTGGGATGGGCCCTGCCCTCACCTGCCTGCCCTGCTCCCTGGTGGGAGGGTGGTGCTGGTCTGTCCCTGACACAGGCTGGACACAGAGTTGAACTCGGCCCACCAGCACTGAGGGCATGAATGTTCCCTCAATCTGTAGCCAGCAGACCTGCCTCTGAAGGTGACCTCCCAGAGGCGCCCAGGTGTGGGCCGTAGTAGCTGAGAAGGGAGCTTCCCACTGGAGGCCCCAGCTCGCTGCTTCTCTCCTGCTGAGTTTCCGTGCTCCCCAGTGCAGCCTTGTTCTGGGGAGGTGCTAACACAAGGCTTGGAAAAGGGGACTTCAGTTTCCTGAGCCTCAGTTTTCTCACTTGTAAAATGGGGGATGTGACCAATCCATCCTCACAGCACTGGGAACTGGGGGGCACAGGGATGTTTTATTTTATTTTTAAAAATTAAATGTATTGGGGTGGCATAGGTTAATAGGAGATGTTTTAAAAAGAACATGCCAAGAGGCAAATCTATAGTGAGAAAGCCGAGTAGTGGGCGCCAGAGGCTGGGAGGAATAGGAATGACTGCTCGTGGGTACGGGGTTTCATTTGGGATGATGGCTGCTCAACTCAAGATACTAAAAACCACTGTATTGTATACTTTAAAAAGGTTGGGTTTTATGATATATGAATTATATCTAAATAAAGCTACCATCGTGGTGTTAAAAGAGGTTCCTTTTGACAGAACTTACATGGGGGGGAAGGGGGACAGACAGCAAAGGCGCTGCAGAGAACAGAATAGGGTAATGGGACAGAGGTGACTAGGGGACAAAGATATAGTTGGGGAGGTCAGTGAGGCCTCTTGGAAAAAGGGACATCTGGCTGGAACCTGAGTGACGAGAGGCAGGCAGCCGTCCAGTAGGGAAAGGTGTTCCAGGCACAAGGCATAGCAGGGGACAGGCCTGAGCTGGGAACAGCTTTGGCCTGTTCAGTGGACAAGGGGCAAGTGGTGTGGCTGGAACTCACAGAACCAGCGGGAAGGAGAGGCGAAGGGTCAGGAGGCCAGCAGGGGCCAGTGTGCGCCGGCCTTGAGGACTGGATTCCACTGGAGGGAGCGGAGGGGAGACATCTGGCTGGGTCAGGAGACTGGTGTGTGGTCCAGGGGAGACGTGACAGGGGCTTGGACCAGGGTGGTAAGTGGAGATGGCGGTGTGGGTGGATGCCCGTGATGTGGGAGCTGATGGGCCTTGTTGGTGGGTGGAGGAAGCAGGATGACCAGCTTTCGCCCTGAGAATCTGAGATGGTTCCAGTATCTGAGGTGGAGAAGGCTGTGAGGACTGCGAGGATGAAATAAAGTCTGGCAGGTCACCTGGCCACAGCAGTGAGCCTCACCAGGCTTTTGGGCCCCTCCAGCAGGAACCTGCGCCATCCCCCTGCACCGTTCCGAGGCTCCAGCTGGCCCAGGGAGCCTGCTCCTCTGCCCGTGGCCCCTACCTCCACCTCAGGAGCTTTCTACCCACATGAAGCCCCCCAACCCCACTCCCTGCCAGGCCCTAAGGGGCCATGACCCACCCTGGCAGTGAACTGAAAGGCCCATGGGCAGGGACTCAGCAAGAGGTGAAGGAATCAGCCACGCACAGCACCTCACACTTTGTTAGGGGCTCTGTAGCCTCCGCAGTGCTGCTGTCAGGGCTGGAAAGACCACTGTTTGAGCAGAGCAGAGGCCTTGGTGGCTGGGGACACCACTGGCCTGCTTTAAAGCTGTGCCCATTTTCCAGGGATGCTAGCCTTCTGGACAGAAACAAATCGGCAGCACCACTCAGCTCTGAGGAGCAGAGCGGGAGCTAGGAGCTCCACTTCACAGATGTATAAACTGAGGCAATGCCAGGTGAGGTGGCTTGGCCCAGGTCCCCAAGATGAAGTCTGGGGCACCCGACTGGCCCAGTGCTCTTTCCTGCTTGCCCTCTCAGCACATCTCAGCTTCCAGAAGCCCTCCTGCCTTCAGCCTCCACACCATCCCGGCTCCCCGAAGCCTTCTCTGAGAACAGGCAGGGCTGGTTCCGAACCTTCTCCTCCCGCCATCCAACTTGTGCCCTCGCTTTCCCTGGGCTGCTCCAGATGGCAGCC